ATAATTCCCTGTAAATCTGTAACCACCGAATTATGTGAGGCTGTTTACAATTAAATGCGTTTGTCATGTTGTGTTTCTCCCCCCTCCTCCCTCCAAAGAGACACTTTCTCTCTCTTTCTTTTCTTTCCTTCTGTCTGATTCCCCATCATCTGTCTGTCTGTGTGCCACTGTGCTTACAAATGATGGCACAATTCATTGCTCAGGTTTAATTAAAGACTTCTCTCCAGCTCCTCCCCCATTCCTGCCTTTTGTCATTTCTGTCCCAGCGACAATCTGTAAAGTCATCCTATGCAGAGTGTGTCTGTGAAGATCATCATCCACCACTTTCTAAAGTTTAGATGTAAAGATTACACGGTCAGGTTTAAAATGGTTGTGAAATGTCTCTATATTAACAATGGATGTGTGTTTGTGTTGTCGCTCCCAGTGACAAAACCGTAGTACATCACTGTAGTGGTTTTTTTTTAGCATCTTTTGGCTTAAATTTTTGATTTTACAGCCCCGAAATGTTTTCATTTCACCACTCTCACCTGCCAAAAAAGACAAAAAAAAAAGAGCCCACATTGTGCTGCATGTTTAGCAGCAACCAGTGGACGGTGCATGTTAGCTCCTTTTTCAGAAACATAGTGATGCATTTAAATATTTCCATTTCTGAAGGTGGAATCTGTGAGTCAGTTTTGGCACATTTAGATTTGCTTGCCGCAAACACATGAGAATAGTGTTGTGTGGATTGATCTGAGCCTCTTTGTTCGTTTCCCATTTGCAGAGCCAGAGGTCTGTACTGTGACGCAGGATTTGGGGTTAGCGAGCTAACTTCAGGTTTAACCCTCAGTGTTCGGGGATAAAGCAGTGGCTCACTTCTTATCGGGGTATATTGCCATGGTAACTTATACTGATCACCAAAGCTGATCCAGAGCAGGTTGTTCTACAGATAACAGATAAGCGTGGATGAAATCAGTTTGCCTAGCCAATCAGCTCTCTTGGAACATGACATCAGTCTTCATAGAGACACTCATGGAGCTCAGTGTGTGGACAGTAAGATGGGCTCTAAGGAGGCCAAGAGTTGCTGGTAGCACTTTTGGAACAATTTCATTACTCTGTAGACGTGTGTATACATTTATAATCCTAATACAAAGACTGATTAAAGCACTAAAGCCTTGTACTTACTCACAGTTTTGAATCAGGTTTTCATATTTGTTTTTTTTACTTGCTTTCCACGCTGTTTAACACCACCAGGGTTGCAGCTGAAAGAACAAGTTAAAAATTGTCATTCAAATTTGATATACGATCTTGTGTTGCCTAAATACTGACCCTTTCCAGTAACATCCGTTCATGCGGTCATGCATGCAGCTTTAGCCGTTTTTTCCTTCCTGGCTTCGGCTACAGCACCTGCGTTGTGTTTAGCCTGGATTATGTTTTTAAATTCCCTAAACTTGACTAGACGTGACCACGTTTGGTCATCTGGTGCCAACACCGTTCCTTTGCATGTGTTCACAGTTAGAGTAGCCCCGGGGTGACTGACTGAGCTGATAACCAGCTTCATGTGACCACTGAGCTCACCTGCGGTTGTTGGGTTTAGTAAATCCAGATAACACAAAGAAAGATATGTTGCTTCGTAGTACAGGCCCCAGAGAATTTTTTTCAGTCTATATACAGAACAAACTGCTGATGAACTATGAGGAGATATTCACCTAATTTGACAAAATCTTTATTAGATTAGAACCACTGACTTTCCCTTTAACTAGTTCTTTAAGTTTTCCCACCTGTGCGACCTATCTTGGGCTTCGTCCGTACCTTTCTGTTATTTCTTTCTCCCAGTCTCTTTGCTGGTTGCTCAGTTTCTCCCACAGTCCAAGGGCATGCCCCACTTAGTTTGTATTTCTATGTCTGTTGGGCTCGTACAGCACATAAATCTTTGAAAACAATCTTTGTAATACTGCTGATACATTTACCACCTGAAATTCTTTGTCGTTTAAAAAAAAGTCTTTTGGTTCCCATCAAGACATGATGCTGGTGTTTGTTTTGTTGAGTGAGATGACAAGCATCACCTGCAGATTTTTAGTCATCAGCTAGCTAATTAAGTCATCAATAACTCCATGAGCTGCTTCCAGAAAGCTCCTTCGCTTGACATTTTTACTGTTTCCAGCTGACCCCCTTTAACTCTGTTTAAACTCAGCGAGCTCATTTTCCGGCAACAATTCACATTAGACAGAACAAACACTGTCCAATCCACTGCCTTCAAGTTTGCTGTTGTGTTGTTCGCCATGGAAAAGAATTCAGACTCATTATTGCCTCTACTAGCTGCCCATTGACATCACTTCAACTTGTGAAGAAAGCCAAAGCTTGACAGGCCTGCTGTGCCTAGTTAAAGATGTCAAACCATTCAGTAAGACAATCAGTTGTTTTGAGGGGTCTGGCGAAAGGTCCGTCGGCTAATTGCACATGGTGTGAATGTAAGACGAACTGGTTGTCTGTTTGTAATGACAACTCACAGATGAAGCAATCACAGCTGATTATTCTGTAACAATGGTGCGTGTTAACGTCGGGGGTAGATTAGATGGTAAAGAACAGCTGGTTCTTTGTGCGCTAGAAGACATACGAGGGAAATAAGCAGTCAGTGCCATTGTTTGAATGTTGTTTTAAGTTGTCAGTGTACCGGTGTCCGTCTCAAAAACACTGCCAAGGTTTCATAAACCAAGGACCTGACCAGCCAACTTGCAGAGTGGAGCTTTGTGCATCCTTCTTCTTTTGAATCTGTTTCCATGTACGGCTAAATCACTCCAATAATACAACTTGTCATTATGTTGCATAGAGCAGTTTTATAGTGTTTGAGCAGAGTTGTAGGTGAGCTGGTGTGCTCGAGCTGCCATGAGAGACAGGGGCTCTGTAGATCCCAACTTTCTAGGGGAACCAGTGGTAATGACTTGTGTCAAAATGCCATTTTAGGGCAGGAAGGGATTATATTCAAGAAAAATAAAAAACGTCTACATATGTAACTTTACATCCATCCATCCATTATCTATACACCGCTTAATCCTCACTAGGGTCACGGGGAGGCTGGAGTCTATCCCAGCTGACTCAGGGTGAAGGCAGGGGACACCCTGGACAGGTCACCAGTCTATCACAGGGCTACACTTAGAGACAGACAACCAAGCACACTCACATTCACACCTACGGACAATTTAGAATCACCAATTAACCTCAACATGTTTTTGGACTGTGGGAGGAAGCCGGAGAACCCGGAGAGAACCCACGCTGCACGGGGAGAACATGCAAACTCCACGCAGAAAGATCCCGGTGCCCCCACTGGGACGCGAACTTGCTGCGAGGCAACAGTGCTACCAACTGCGCCACCCTGCAGCCCATAACTTTACATGAACTTAGATAAGTTTTAGGGGTTAAATCACACTTTGTTGTTAATGTCTTAATGCCAGATGCCACACGGAAGCTTCAGCAGTCTTATAGAGGCCATGCAGTCCGGAGCAGTTTGCATTCAGTAGGTGTGGTCATGATGTTCTGACTCATCAGCGTAGGACTAGACTTGATTTTAGTGTGACTCTATGATGGGTACTGATGATAGATCATTTGGTAGTTAAGTATGTATGATGGAGGGATAACTTAAAAAACACATTTTAGTGCATTCAAAGCGATATACTTTAAGTTTGCAGATCAAAAAAAATACAAGATGTAGGAAGTTAGCAAAGAAATGCAAACTGAATTTAGGACAACAAAGACTCCTCAGTAGCTGGTAATCAAAGGAAAGATCAAGTGATGGTCCAACATCAGAGCAGGGACTGCTGCAAGAAAGTACATTTAAAGCTTACAAACTATTCTCTTTGTATCTTGAATGAACTACTTCAGTTCTCATGTTCCTTTTTTTCCTCCTCAAACTAACAGAAAGTCTTCATTAGCCTCAGTGATGAGCGATGGATTGAATGTTCCTACCACACACTCTCCACACCTCTCCAGTGTCCCGTCCCTCACAGCTTTCATTTCAGCTCAGGCCAGTGCTTTACTTCTACATGCTCGGTTGCAGGTCCACGACCCCCTCGCGGGCCTCTACAGGCTCGTCGGCCTTTAGACAAACACGGCGAGAGAATATCCCACTTGGCTACTCACCGAGACAATGATGGAGTCAGACAGCGTGTATGCGGATCACTCTCGCAAACTCGCAGTGAGCTGGCGGGGTTATGGAGATAAGGTGCGCTTTATTTAGCAGCGTCGACGCGATGGAGCCGAAATCGTGACGTCACCTTCGCACCTGCCCCGTGGCACAGAGCGAGGGGCAGTCGGGACGCATGAGAAGTGATCGTACTGACTTCACGTCTTTGTACCGAAAATCTAAAGCTCACAGATGAAGCGATAAAGCAGTGCTGAAAACATCTCTGGGAGCTTTAAACTGTCGCTGTCACACGGCGTGCCGCAACCGCTGAAGAAGTTGTGCACAATACATCACCGAGCAAATCGACTGTGATGTTGATAAGGGCTTAATGAAGGTCTGTTAGCTATATGTCTTTTGGAGGCACAAAAAAGCGACTTAACTTTGTTTCCATTTTTTTTTTTTTCTATTCGCTTGGCTCCTATCCATTTTTGTTTTGCTCTTTATGCTGGCAGTCTAGGAAGCTTATGCTATTGTTGCATTCAGTCGCTCCGGCTAAGAGTGTCAGCTAAATGCCTGAAATGCAAAATGTAAATGCGGGGTGGAAGAATATTCGCTCGACAGGGTTGTTACTCTTTTATGCTGATTTGGACAGCGCTCTAACTCAAAGACATTTCCTTGACATTCATTTGTATTTCGCTTGCATATCTCGTCGGCGCAGTATACTGTGCCTATGCATATGGGGAGCTCATCATCTTCGTCTTTTAGGTGGATTTTTTAGAAATGCTGTCACCGTGCAAGGCCTAGTTCTCGCTCACTGATTGCTTTTTTTTTCATGATACTGTATTTGTAATGACTTTTGTTTGATCCCCATTTTTTTCCCCCCCCTCTTTTTCTACCTCAGGATCTGAAGAAGGTGCTGTCTTTCCCCCCGTACCCTGGGGAGTTCTTGCACCCGGTCGTGTATGCCTGCACGGCGGTCATGTTGCTTTGCCTCTTCGCCTCCATCATCACGTACATAGTGCACCACAGGTAAGAAGAAAATTACCTCCCTGATTCTATTGAGGTATACGTTTAAGCTTTAATCCTCTCCTGCCTGTCTGGCCTTAATTTAAAATCGCACTCATTAACTTCACTTCTACGTGCGGCGCTTATGTAGCCTGTTCATTTCTTGCCTCTTTACCTTCATGGTGACTCCTCTGTCACAGATCCCAGGATGACTGTGGTGTGAGTCAGATGCTTTAGGCTGGCGTAAAGCACTGCAGCCTGTCTCGCTAAGAGGATATAAAACACATACGCCAATGTGTGTCTGTGTGTGCGTGTGTGTTCCAGTCACAGCAGAAATATGCTTCTAATGGATTTCTAAGGGGTACTTAGGCCACCTTTGTTCCTTTTATTCCATATGGAGATGAGGGCAGAGAATGTACCATGTGGTTCATGTGGTTTTGCACTGTGGCATCTGTCTGGCTCTTCTGAGGTTCATCTGCTGTGGATGCTGTTATTAAAGCAGGAGGGGGAACCTGACTGGCGTATTGTTTCAGCACGCCAATTCATCATCCGTCGTCCTCGTAGAGCGTCAGTCACTTTATCATGTCCGCGGCATTAATGTGGGATTAATATCACAGCTTTCAATCCATTTTAATATAAAGAAATCAGGACATATCTCAAATGTCACATTTTCAGGAAATATCGTCGTATCTGTAGAATAGCACAGTTAACCGGTTTAATTTATGTATTCTGTCTTTACTGTGATTAAAGTGCACATTTTATGAAACTGCACGAGAGCTCAGCAACCTTTGCGGCTTACATCCGTCCGTGACACCTGGGACGGAGACGAGATGCGTCCTTCTGCAGTCAGACGGCGATGACAGCATCTGAGGCTCCGAGCAGCAGCAGCATCGCTTGCTGTCATCTCGCACCGCAGTATTGACGCTTGAAGGAAAAAATGAAAACTGCAATAGTTGCAGGAGACTGCAAGATATTTTATATTTTTTAGTAAACCTCAATGCAAAAAAAAATAATACACAGCCATGGTTTTTAGGGTTTGAAAACATTTTTAGGAAAGAAAGAGTGGAAACAGCTAAACGCCCTCAAACTGGGACTGTTTTTTTAACACTCCAAAAAAGATTATTTCCTTCCTGAAAGAACAAATAGATGAAAGTTGTAGGTGTTATGAGTGCCTTTTTTAATCGATGAATAGGTTGCATTAACCAATTATTCGATTACAGTAGTGGGCTGTTTTACTAGTCTGTCAGGCGTATTTCTCAACAGAGGATCAAGATTATCAGTGTTGTAACATAACATTTAGTACCTTCACTGCCAGGGCTCCTGAGTGCAGCCATTTTTGCATGTGCGACCAAAAATCTGTCAGAAACAACTAATCATTTTCATTGGTCTCCCCGGTGTGTCTGACATTTAGCAGCTCCGCCTGTGTGTGTCTCTGGGCGGTCTTAACCGAGGTAAATGTTATAGCAGAACACCTTTTTTCTGTCACCTGAGTGGAGACTAGAAGCTTCTCCAGCTACCATCTACCGGTGCATGTAGGTAAAGTCTACTGATGCATGTAAGGCATGTAGGTAAAGTCTACTGATGCATGCAGGGCGTCTAGGGATTATCTGCAAATTGTAGCTTCTACCATTAGTCTGCCTGTGAGGAGTTTAGGAGATCTTTATACACTGGAACATCTACCGATCCATGTGAGGCGTTTAGGGGCCTCGGTAAATTGCAGTGTCTGCCATTAATCTGCATTTGAAGCACTTTGGGGACACGCGTAAGCTAGCTTCAGAAAACAACCTGGACGACACCCTCTCCTTCTAAACTGCATGAGTCTCAGCATGCACATCCATCTCGCCGCACCACCCGCCATCGCTGGTAAACTCTCAACCTGCGGGAAACTGAAGTGTGATAAAACAGTAAATGCATTCGATTATTGCTAAGAGCCAAAGTACAGCCGGAAACAGAATTTTTGTTGTTGTCGGAGGACTGAGATTCTGAATTGAAAGACTTAAAAAAAGCACAACGTCTCCAAGGAAGTCTGTGACAGGTGCGTGGCCAGCAGAGCAGCTCGGCTCCCAACAGCGTTTTAGCACCAGGCAGCAGCAGCAAACCAAAGCAGCCAGGATCATAAAGTTTAGTGCAGCTTAGAATGTAGTCAAAGAACAGTTACATCTGAATAACTGTAATTAATGTAGAGAACATTTATATAATGTGTGAACTTACAAATGTGTAAAGGAACTGACTGAAAAAGGGTTACACAAAAAAATGCATCATTTGGTCCCAACATGCACAGTGGAAGAATACAGGTGCTTCTACATGATGTCCAATGAAAGGTTTAGGCACAAAAAGTTAGTCCGGTGCCCTGAATCCACAACTTCTATTTCAGAATAATAAATCTAGTTTTGAGGGATACTTGGAAAAGTCAACGAGACCTTATTCATCAAGTCTGTGAAGCACATAATAGATGCAATTAACAGCTATCAAATGTCACGCCACGACGCCCGTTTTATAGCTATCTCAGGCCGCACAGAGCATCCCCACTGAGGAGGAGGGGTCAAATGTGGGACAAAAGTACTTGTACCCTTAGCTTTGATTTGTACTTGCAGGTTTAAATAGCCCGTATCCTACTTTTTGGGTTTTCTGTTCCCTTTTTTTATGCCTTTAAAAGGTCCACACACAAAGTGAATTGCTGCAGCTGTGCACAGTTATAGGAAATGGTCTTTATTTGAGCCCACATATTCTCGTAGAAAAATGATAAGCTTGTACATGTGCAGAGCTCTTTAATTCAGAGCTGCAAACTTTTTAAGCACACATGCTGCTGGGTTCTATGTTAACTTTTGTCACCCGCAAAAAGACAGATGTGTATCTACAAACTGTACATTTCTTTCTTTTACCACAAATTGAAAAGTATTTGTGCAAATCTTTCCTTTATGTTCACAAGCTGTCATGCACCGCTACATCCATCCATCCATCCATCCATTATCTATACACCCCTTAATCCTCACTAGGGTCGCTTGGGGGCTGCAGCCTATCCCAGCTGACTCAGGGTGAAGGCAGGGGACACCCTGGACAGGTCACCAGTCTATCACAGGGCTACACTTAGAGACAGACAACCAAGCACACTCACATTCACACCTACAGACAATTTAGAATCACCAATTAACCTCAACATGTTTTTGGACTGTGGGAGGAAGCTGGAGAACCCGGAGAGAACCCACGCTGCACGGGGAGAACATGCAAACCCAGCTTCGAAATCACGACCACCGCATCGGGACCGTTGCCCGATACGGGGAGTGCCGACTCAACCTACTGGCACCGCTACATGTCTCAGCCTATTTTTTTAATATATTTTCTGTATTTTTGTAGTTTTTCACACAATTAAAGGTTTTCATACAAAACCCTTTCACATATCAGACATGCTGACGTACAACTACAGTACTTTGGATCCTGTTTTGTGTCATTAGTATTCTAGTTTTGTCTTTCACTGATTCCTATCATACATAGGATGCAGCTTTGATACGGTGTATTCTACATTCATATCCTGTTGTACATAATGTCCAGGTTTCCTGCCTGCAGGCGTGTCTTGACTCCTAAACATTTCAGTCTCTTCTATTTCTGATTAACTTCTGCTGTTTTGGGGCCATCTTCTCCTCAACATTTACCACCGGGCTGGATTCTCTGTCTTATCGCCAGTAATTGGAAATTAAAGCAGCAATAACATTTAAGAACAGCATTACCAAATTAATTACCTTTTTTTTTGCTTAACTGACTAACCACTGCAGCCTTTAGCATCTCAAAGAATGATCAGAAACCTGGATTATGTGTCTACATGCAATTTTATGCCTCAGTGCTTTGATGCTTCGGGTTCAGGATTTGGTGTTTACATGGATAACGCAGAACTGGGACGCTGCAAAAAAACCTGATCAGAATCAAGTAAACACACTCATTCATCATAAAATGGAAGACATTCATTCCAGTCCAAACTAGAGTGAGAACAAGCCCTTATTTAAAATACGACGCCGGAGCTTTTGTGGTGTCACACACGCAGGGGAGGGATTTTTTCTTTTTTTTTTTCCAACAGCGCTCACATTAACAAACTCCAGCACCTCCTCCTCCTCCTCCTCACCTCCCTCTAGGCACTCCCCAGCACTAAAACACATCTCTTTTTAGTAACACTTTAGTTGCCTAGTATCACTCTAGCTGACTGACAGTATCTAAGCCGTGAAGCCCTGGGACTGCGTGTTAAATGGGCAGAATGCAAGCGAGGGTGTCCAAGGATAGGTACTGTGGTGCTGTGTGCATGTTGGAATTTGTCACTTTCTCACTTCAGCTCACTCGCACGTACACACTACATGCATAAATATATGCATACAGTTTGTGCTGTTGGTTTCTTTCTCTGCCAGCGAAATAACCCAAGACAGAATATGTGATTACGGATGCAGCAGTGATGTATGATGTATGAGCTGAGGAAAAATTTTTACAAAAAAAACAACACAGTGGTGGGTATCATGTCTTTGAACCCCAAATCCTTTGAACCCAATTGACGCAATTTACGTCAAAAGCGTTCGCAGTCATGACTCAGTCCAAAAAAAAAGGGAAACACTGATACCGTATTGCTGGAGGAGGAACTTGATGGTAAAATTCTAGCTTTCATTGCAGCAATCGTCATTCAGTGAGCACGCACGTCAATATGTCCGCTTGGAATTCATATTCATAAAGGTAGATTCACATCACCTCACGGTTATCAAACTGCAGTTCATGGATGTCTGTGAATTATGATTCCACAAACTGATAGCAGCTGATGCAGCAATCATGCAAATCCTCTAAGAAGACTGTACAGTACATAAAGGAGGGATGTAGGTGGAGTCCAGTCCATGGCCACATTACCCTTTGGTAAATGGTAAATGGTCTGCACTTATATAGCGCTTTTCTACCTTTCGGCACTCAAAGCGCTTTACAATGTTTCTCATTCACCCATTCACACACACATTCATACACCAATGGCGACAGAGCTGCCATGCAAGGCGCTAATTGGGAGCCATTTGGGGTTCAGTGTCTTGCTCAAGGACACTTTGGCATGTGGCGGGATCGAACCGCCAACCTTGCCATCAGTGGACAACCCGCTCTACCACCGGAGCCACAGCCGCCCCAACATATCTGGGATGATGGTACAGCTGGCAACTCGTGTCGATAATTACACCTCAGACCAAATCGACAAGAGCCATTTAGGAAACGTCTGCAGATACCTCCATAGCGAGTCGGCTCCATCCTCCGTGAGTTTTGAGCAGGCCCTTCCTGTTTACATCAGATAAAGCCATGGTGTAGAACTCCTAAATAGATCCTGTAAGGAGGAGACAAACAAGCGAAATGAATTCAAAAATGTGCTGTTTGTTGTTTTGCACCATTAATTCTACAGTAATAATACAAACAAACATATTCTAAAGGAGGCAAAACATGCCATTTAGTTAATAAAGAGCAGCGAAATGTGTGTTGTCTGATGTGTTTAATGAAACAGAGTGAAGCTTTTAGTGCATTTAGTGGAATCACAACAACAACAACAGCGTGCAGTGTGTTGTTTTACCAGTTTACAAAGCGGCTGATTTACAAGCAATAAAACCAGATATCTGCAGCTGTTCTAATCAATATTTTTATAGTAGCAGTCGCTCGGATTATTAATGTGAACGGTGGGAGCTTGTAGGACAAGTTTCACAGAGAATTGACGCCTGACTCCACACTCCCCCTCAGGTCGGCAGAATTTCGTAATGTCTCCGAGTTAATTGTCTTAGTTTTACAGCTCACAACTTCATCATTACAGTTCAGTCTCACAGCTCTCATCAGCATCCTTTCCAGCTGCAGCAAGCAGCTGTTGTCTGAGAGATAAACCCACTGCAGACTACCTGCTCAGCACCAGGCATCAGATGGAGGATGTTAGCAGCTTGCTAGTGGAGCATTTAGCGGCTAACAAGCTAGACATTTACTACTGGAGTTAGTGGAGACCAAAACAGAGCTGCAAATGCTGGACTTCGCTTTGACAGGGACATGACTTCAAAGAAAGTCTAGTGTTGCTCAGTTGCAAAGGATCGCTCCTTATGTTCCAGTTGTAGGTGTGTGGGACACCAAAGCTACATTCATTTCATCATTGATGTCAGTCATATGAACCTACCCTGTTGCCATGCCGCCCTCTTGTCTCCGTAACAGTTCTTGTGCATCAGCATGCAGCCGCTTTCATCTCTGCACGTAGCAGTGCTGCAGCCTATAGTTTACGGGACCTCGGCACCGTGTTTGGAACGTTTCTGCGACCAATCAAACGGCTTGGCTGAAACTACTCATCGTATAATGTGTCACATTACACTGTCCATGGCTTTATTGTCCCTTACATTTGGCCGAGCAGCGGGTGCGGGGTGAGAGAGCAGATGCAGAGTGAGGACAGTTTTATTCCCCCTACCCTCCGGGACATGGGGATGTGGAGGGTTGCCAGGTTAATGTACTTGACCCAATGAAAGCCCAGAGCAGCGCCTATGAAAACCCCCTTCCAGGGAGGCCAGGAGCCGGCCTGATTTATGGCCTCTTTGCTGGATGGAGTTCAGTACCTGGACCGCAGCATAGGCATCGACAACAGGAGCTCTAATTCTCCCTCCCCTTACACAGAGCAGTGAAGCCCGGCCCCAGAAACGCCTCATGGCTCTCTGCTGAGCCGCTGCTTCATCTACAGTTGGCTCACGTGCTGCCGGGGCTCCGCTCCTCCATTTTGGGGAGTGGAGACTTCCAGCGCAGGGTTATATAATTTCAAATGGTGACAGTGACTGTACAGATGAAAAGGAGGGAGCTGACAAAGGAAAGTAATTAAAAGAATAGATGGTCTGGTTATTCACACATTCTGGCAAATATGTTGGTATTGTCTGACCTATTTAGCCTATTGTCTAACAGCTGGATGGAAAGCAGTAACGTGGTGCCCTGCTCGGGGCTGCACAGACCCCGGCTAACACCATATTTCACAAAGTGGATATTAGTGTGTAGATTTACATTGTGAGAACTTGAATTGGCCCAGCCAACTGGAAGCAATCTCTTTTTATTTCATCATCAAACCAGCAGAGTGATTCCTATTTATGTGCATACACCACTACATGTACTGTATATGTGCAGGTGGGTGAAAAAGCTGTGTGGGAAGGTTGTACGCTGAATAACACATCGGATTCTTACTCAAAAAAAATCTGCAAATAGCCCATTGCCTTAGGTTCATCATTCTAAAATAAGCACAATGCAGTCTGTGGCAAGGAGTTAAACCAATCGTATCTTCTTTTTATGCTCCAGTGCCGCATCTATCACTGTGTATGTAGGCTCTGACCTTCTGAAGGTGCATATCATAAAACCGCCTCCTTGGATTTTTATTTTTTTTTATCACTTTCTTTTCATTGTCAGAAGATTTCAAACAACATTCCTGTAAACACTTTTCTCCTCAAAGTTCAGTCAGAATGAATTTAAAAGAAAGGTCCGTCTCTCTCGCTGAATGGCAGCTTTGAATATTTTTATTGCTTTTTCAAAAGGAAGTCTTATGAGGAACCATTCATCTTCTGTACAATAAGCTTGTCTACACAGAAATGTGTAAGAAAAAGAAAAAAAAGTACAATGTCTGTGAGCTCAAGATGTACTGAAAAGGTCAAATGGAGCCAGTGGTCACACAATTAGTATGTTGTATTTAATTAAATGTACAATAATGCTTTTTTTTGTCTTGGAGTTTCAGATTTTTCTGAGCAAAATGCCAGTTTCAGATCAGTTAATTAGGTAAATTGAAGCTGTATGCGTTTATGTTGTATGTAGGTATGTAGGTAAATCCCCCAGCATGCACTGGGGCTGCAGTCACTTGGGCATAAGTCTGATTTTATGTGAGTTCCTGCATTTTTTACCAATGCGATGTTCTGCAGTGTTCCACATTTCCATTACTGTAATACCGCTGCTCACTCAGTGGATGCGGTCGCAGTGATTTTGTGTGCATGGTTGATGATGATTGATCACGATGATGCTGTTAAAATTCTCTGAATCAATAGCAAAAAAAAGAAAAAAAACACCACATCTCTCCATTTCTAAATGTGGAGCTGACCTCACTCAGACATCTGATTTGGTAACGACCGAAAAAATAAGCTTTTCCTAAATTCTCCTAAAGGCTTTAATTTGAATTTTTCTGTGTTACTGTCACTTTAAATGTTGTGTTCACCACATGTGTTTACAGTGGAAGGTGTAAAAGCTTGTTTGCTATGAGCTGCACTGCCTGGCTCCTCTCCTGCGGTTGTTAATCTATATGGCAGTAGCAAGGTAAAAGAAGAGGGCAATTTATGCAGACCTTGTGAAAGACTGGTTTAAATCATACCTGAGTCGGCTGATGGGCAATATACCTTGAAAACTGAATCTCAATGAGGTTCTATTTTACGATAAAAAACTCTTGGAGGTATGGTTTGCGCCTGCTAATTATTTGTTTCTTGTTTTTGTTTTTTTTTTGGCAGCGCAATCCGCATCAGTCGGAAGGGATGGCATATGCTTCTCAACTTCTGTTTCCACACAGCGCTGACCTTCGCTGTGTTTGCCGGCGGCATCAATCGAATCAAATACCCCATCATCTGTCAAGCAGTAAGTGCATTCCCTTTTCATTCGTCCCACTCTCAAAGCTTTTCAAAAAATTGATTGTAAATGTCTATTCAGGTGTCAGCAAACCGGGCCACTGAGTGCTCTGCGTGGACGTACAGTAACCCGGCTTCGTGTGCGTTTCATGCTTTGCTGCATGTGGGCTTTGGTCACTCTGTTAGTGAAGTGGTGGCACAATGAGCAGCGATGATTCAGGCTTTCCCATCATGAATGCACTCATTTGCCTGTGTCTGCTTTTGTTTCCAGGGGGGGTTAGTGGTGGGCGTTGTGTTCCAAAATTTTGTGGACATTTTAGAAAGTGGCAGCATATAAAAGATTTTTCTGGTCAATAGACTTCCATAGAAAAATGTTTGTACATGGAGTTTTAACCTTGCAGTTAGCACAGTTCTCTTTATTAAGGTTGCACGGTGTGTGTGTGTACTCCAACAAATGTGCTGAATGGATTTCTGTCTGCAAAGCCATTTTTTTACGCATTTTAAATGTTTGCATGTGTATCCTTGAATGCATGCATGGGATGTACAAAAGTGGCACCACTCAAAGAAAATCAACTCCAGGAATTTTATTTGCTGTTCTGTAGGTGGTGAAGAGGTCGTGTGTAGTGTTCCTTGCACATCTATTTTAAGCAATGCTTGCGGTATATCTCAGCAGCTATTTTGTTGTGATATTTATGGTCAAAGTTTACTTCAGCACCAACGGCATGTCCATATTTTTAATTGTACTGTGAAATATCTCAACATCTAGTCCTTCAAAATAAATTCTCCCTGCGTTGATGTTGCAATGTGCGCATGTGTAATAGTCGTTGTGCAGAAGGGACAATGTGAAGAATGCAAAATTATGTTAAATATCATGCTGCAACTTTTGCTGCTTGATACAAAAAGTCATCATGATCAACTGTGATTTTGATATTAGAGCTCTGCGCTAATACAAACAGCCTATGTGGATAAAGTCCTTTGGTTTAGTTTGGATCAATCTGATAGAGAATTCATTCTTTTCAAGCTACATTTTGATCACACTCCTGTCTGAGCTGCTGTGCTGCAGTAACTAAGTGGAGTCTAGAGGCTTCTCTATGCACAGCTACCTACCCAGCCAGCTTCCACTGTAGCCTGTGTGTGAGGCGTTAAGGGAACGTCCATAAATTGTTAAGTCTATGGACAGACAGATGTTTAACAAGTTTAGGCTTGTTTTTTTTGTTTAATTTATACTATGCCTCTAGGACAGGGGTGGGCAATCCTGGTCCTCGAGGGCCACAATCCTGCATGTTTTAGATGTTTCCCTCTTCCATCACACCTGATTCAAATGATCAGCTCATCATCAAGCTCTGCAGAAGCCTGATAACGATCCTGATCATTTGAATCAGGTGTGATGGAAGAAGGAAACATCTAAAACATGCAGGACTGTGGCCCTCGAGGACCAGGATTGCCCACCCCTGCTCTAGGAGATGCACTTCCCTACAAATTGAACTCATCACTCTAGATTGACTAATTCTCTCCAAATAGTTACTCAGTTCCTAAATATATATTGTTGCAGTGTACATAGCAAATACACAAATTTTCATAGTCAGTATTTTACAATATTGTGCAGCCGTAGTTTGCAGAGGGTGTCATGGCTAACCCTAACTTTTTAAGTGAAGTAATTAAACAACTTTCCTTTTAATTAAGGATTATTCACCACATAAATACTTCTCATATCAATACAAAGTTAATAACATTCCCATCAACCTCATCTGTACTTCATGGCTAATTAGCAAATACCAGCATGTTGACATAATAAACAAGATGGTGAACATGCTAGACGTGATACCTGCTCAACATCAACATGGTGACTCTGTCATTATGAGCATTGTAGTCAGTGAATGTTCGCATTTAGTGTTGTTGCATTTCAAGGCCCCATTATGTCAAAGTACAGAGCTGCTGGCATGGTTGCAGACCTGTGGTCTCTTTTTCTGCATGTTGATTCTGTCCTTCATTTGGTTGTTGACTGATTTACTCTCATTTCTGCCACACATCATCTCTCTGCTTACATAAAATCTAAATACCTTGTGAAGCAGTCCTCTTCACATGTTTTTAGCTATTCACATAATAAAAAAGCTCAATGTTTGGTTTGAAAAACAGACAAAGAAAAAGGAGGCCTTGAAGCCTCTCTGGATGGTCATAGCTTTTACTGGCTCACAGTGTCATCTACTGCTGCCCATGATGATGGATATAGGGATGCCAGCCCCATCTTGTGAGACAAGCAGTGCGCCACATCTGTGCAGCTGGACTTGGACTTTGCAATCAGTGTGTGTTCACATGGGTGGTGCCTCTGTCTCTGCAGCCTTCAGACATGAATGAGTGAGCGAGAGTCGTGGAGGGACACGGAGATTTGGGATGTCAGGGTAGATTTAGAAACAGGTCAGAGAAATGCTTTTGTGCCTGCTGGCACTTGACTATTTTTAGGTTTTCGTACAGGAAGAATGGAGGTGGCAGAGCCCTGCACCGGGTCGGGCACCTGTGGGCACCTGCTGGGTAACCTGCAAAAAGCTGTGTAATGGTATAGAAGTATTTTTATATAAACCCATGGGCATGGGGGAACTGAACTTAATGCAGCCAGGCAGTGGCAGTGAAATAAATCATGAAAATGAATTTACAATATTTTTACCATCTAAATAAGCTTATATCATCAAGCATATTCAGCCACTGGGATTTTTTATTCCGAATGTCGGCGACGCAACCTTCCTCCCCTCGCGGTCAAATAACAGGACATTACTGGTGAGCCAACTATGGTTAATTCATGTTTCTTAATATTTTGTTATATCAGATGAGGCCGTTATAGTCTAATGGGCCTATAAAGTCTTATTAACTGACCTTAATTTTAAAATCAGTCGAAAGAACCTTTCAGAAACACAGCCAGTTTTATTAAACTGAATCCTTAACTGCCCTATTTTGTATGATTCTCTTGTGGCCTGAAAGGTCCACATCATAAGCTGGTTCAGTTTAATTAAAGCAATTCATGAGCCAATGTGAGGAAGCTACACTGCTGCTGTTTGGTACATGTTTAGCAACAGGCGATTGTCAGACATTAGTTTTTGCATTAGGATGTTGGTTAGTTGGGCACATAAAGAGACAGCGCTTTAAAGTGAGGGACTGTGTTGGCTGCATGTTTAAAAGGGGTTGCGTCCCAGGACTTACATTAACCTCCCCAACCCCAAGTAGTTTCTGGGTGTTTATTGCTCCTGTCACATTTTTACTCCCTGTGGGCTCATTTTTTACTGCAATATAAAGACCCACACCTCGATGGAAACAGCACAGCCATGACTAGAAGAATGTCTTCTGTGCAGTATGACACAGTTATAATGCCATAAATCACAACAAAAAGACAAAATAAAAATTAAATTTGCTTGATTAATATAACCTGCAGTTCAGCGATGAAGTCGATAAACATTTGCCACGAGGCTGTTGGCTGAGCTGAGTCACCAAGGAATGAAGAATTATTATTTATTTTATTCTATATTTTTTAGTGCAAACAGTTTGAATTGATATGTAGAATAAAGTGATGAAAAGTCATGATGGAACCAAACGTCACACATGATGGATCGTTGGAACATATGACAATTCTTTCTATTTTTGTGACTCTGATAAAGGGTCTAATTAAATAGGATGCCTTTTAAACCGCATTCAGAGAGATTAGACTTCCAATACTGCACTTTGTGGCTGTGCAGAGCTGCAGGTTTGCAAAACTGAACCAATGCTGAACTCTTGAAAGTAGAGCAAGAAGGCAGCCCATAAACTGTGTTAAATTATAACGTCTACAGTAAATACAGAGTTTTTACAGCGCGTTCGTTTGGGCTCGTTAAAATCTGTGATGAGTCAAAAACAGTAAAAAAAAAAAAAAAAGCAATATGTTCTTTCTATAAATGTTTTACATGGTTAGAAGGCCATCCAGTCCTGGTGGACTCCCTTTCCATTTGATTGATAGCTGAACCTGTTCAGGTTGTGAGCATGAAACATCAGCTGAAGCAGAGCATCCTCCACTGTCATCTCCTCCCAGCAGGGGGGCATTTACTGTACGTAGCCACAAAGAGATTGATGTACACCTCTTTTCTACTTTTCACTCACACTTTCTGCTGCCTTCAGTCACTCCCAGGTTGCAGCAGTGGGCCCCGCTCACTCCCCTTTTTTTTTTTTTTGGGAGCTGCAGTGCGTTTGGGACCCGGCTTGCCTCTTCTGCTGTCACAAGCACTTTAGGTGGCCCCTTGTTCCATAGTGTAAAGACTCCACCTCTACATGCTGAAATGCAGCCAGCTTTTCCCGAGCTGTCGAGCTGGAGACTCGGTGACAGGCAAGTCTTAAAAAAAAAAGTCACCACTAGTGTCACAGCCGTCAAGTCTTCAGCCCAACAATGGTAACTGACACAAAATGGCTGGTGTTTGTCGTAAAAATTCAGCTTCCCTCCGTTCACCTGCTCCCCGTATTTTAACATCCCTTTAATACTTGTACTATATATAGTTAATAATTCCCCTCTCTCGCCTGCATTAGACAGAGGACAAGAAAAAGTGAATAAATTGAACCTCAGTGACATTGACTGCAGCGTAAACAAACATTTGCCAGCTTCCATCGATGAGACACCTCTGACCGACGACACCGCCGACAGTCAAGAGTGGTTTTGAATGATGGGAAGCTCAACATCCCAAATCACATCCGATTGGATAAATGTGTATATTTCATCTCAAAGGCAAGATGAGTCATCAAAAATGTTTTTACATAGTACAAGAGAAGAAAAGAGAGATTTTGTTGCATTAATATAAGTTTCATTTAATGAGGTGATCTAACTGACATCAAGACATAACAAAGGACATATTAAATAAACTTGAAGTTAAAATCAGCCAGTGTGATGAGAACATTTTTAAATCCTCTGTAATTCCTTCCATTTATAATGTGCAAAGTAGATAAAGGCAGTCTTCCCAAGTTCAGAGTTTACCTGAGGGGGTGACTGCAGTTAAACAGTCT